TGTTTGAAATAAGTTATGAGTTATCTTTAGTATTTGCAAAGAGATACCTATTTTAGAAATTTTAGCATTTGATGATTCTTTAAAATTTTATTCACCTCAAACTTTTCATACAGTTTTTATTTTGCTTACTAGAATAAAATTCTCTAAGTGAATACTTTCTAATTTTTTCTTTTACAAAAGCATTATTGTATTCTGCTACTGTAAAATAAGAGTATGGAGTAATCAAAAGGGACTCAATTCTTTAAATCTCTAATTAAATTATCAAGTTTAGTAGCTTTCTAATGATTTTTTAATCCCGTCATGGATGGTTGCTCTAGATCATTTAAGTTTGTTTTTCCTATTTTTACATTTATGTGCTATTTGACAATTAAATCAGATGTGATCTGAAATTATTATTTAATCAGAGATTGATAGTATAATTATTCCTATATTTTAGATACCAAAACTTAAACTACGATTGAGATAATTCCGATAATACCTCCAACATTTGAAAGTGCATCTGAAAGGGTATATAGTTCCATGTTAGTTGTTGTTACTATGTCATCAAGTAGTATTTAACAAGTTATATAAGAGCCTAATAAGTTAGAATCTGCAATTTACATTGAATCATGTGTTATTGTATAGTATGTCAAATTTTATTAGCCTAGCAAATTTGATAATGAGGAGGTGCTTTAAATTAGGAAATTTTAGCCTAATTTCAATTGATAATAAAGAGAAAGTTTTGATTATGCTGTTGCAAAAAACTGCTTCAAGACTGTCTTGATTGGATTTCCATATTTCTCATTTACATCAATGAACTAATTAGTCATTAGGATATTTATTGTCAAGTGATTTAAGATTCTGTCAATTTCTTCTGCAGAAGCACAAGTCAAGGTTTTATTTTTTATTGTAAGATTCGTTTAATTACACTTTCTTACTTATACTTGAAGCATTTAAGCATATTATGTGGTATATGAACCCTATAATGCAGTTTTGAAGTTTATAGGGCAAGTATATTTGTTAGTTATTCCAAAGGTTTCAGTTTGGGATTACTCACCATTAAATCTTCCAGCCTGACATTTAGAAACTGGTAGCTCAATAAGTTCTTCTGAGAATGATCCATTGGAATAGATATTTTTAAAAGTTGAAAAACTTACTTCAACGTATTAATCAATACTCTTAATTTCTTATTCAGGCGGAATAAGAAATTCAACTGAAAATCCAATATCAAATTCCTTTTGGGTTATGATCAACTCTCATTGATCTATTACTAAATTTTTCAAATAGGTAGAATTCGTAATAGTTGTTTTTCTGTCGATAACCTTAAGAACTTCTGATATAAGAAATGCGAGTATAAGTAACCTTACGCATAAGGTAACAACACCACCGAAAGTTGTTTTAAACGATGAGCTATTCTTGTAAGTGAATGCAATAGGATGACCGAATTAATCTAAAGATCGAATTAATTGTTCAAATTTATGCTTGAAATCCTTGCTTCTATTCATTTTATTAACTAATATATAGGGAAAATGTGATAAATTACTATTTATAATTTATTAGATTCAACGTCTATTCAATAATTTATGCTATTGGGGTTTTGGGGTTTTGGGGTTTTGGGG